ATGAATACTCAACATTTGCATCAACATGGATGAAACTGGAGGAGACTACGCTAAGTGAAATAAGTCAAGCAGAGAAAGTCAATTATCATATGGTTTCACTTATTTGTGGAACATAAGGAATAGCACAGAGGATATTAGGAGAAGGAAGGGAAAAATGAAGGGGGGGAAATCAGAGCAGGAGACTAACCATGAGAGACTATGGACTCTGGGAATCAAACTGCGGGTTTTAGAGGGGAGGGCGGTAGGGGAATGGGTTAGTCCAGTGATGGGTATTAAGGAGGGCACGTACTGCATGGAGCACTGGGTGTTACATGCAAACAATGAATCACGGAACACTACATCAAAAACTAATGATGTACTGTATGGTGACTAACATAATAAAAAAATTATGAAAAAAATAAAAATAAAATACACTAATTTAAAAGTACGGCATACTTAATTCAGATAGTGCATATTTAATGCAAAAGTAAGTGTGTGTGCACATAAAGGAAATGCCTTTGTTCATATTTTATTACGCTTCACATAAAAATGGACAGAAGTAATAAGATGCAATCCAGAGACAGAATCTAGGGCAGAAAATACTCCCTATATAAAATAATTTCATGCTCCAAATGAAAATTGGTAATCAAATTTCCAGCCTCCAGAATGAAAGCTTATTTTTAAGTCAATAATTAAAACACTATGTTGCATCTGACAAATCCCTGTTTCTCTTTAATGTATTCTCACTATCTGAAGAGCTTGAGTAAGAACTAAGAAATTACAATTTAAGCTAATGCTCAAAGTATCTCTCCCTTTTACCCAAATGCTCACGACCCCTATAGATTATATGTTTACTGTTATTAAGACAAGCTGTATACCATAAGTGATTTTATAAAGCCACCGCTCTTCCTGGACAAAAAAATCTCAAGAAATTTAAAATAAATCTATAGTGCTGCTGAATTTCACAAGAAATGTCAGAATGCAATCCAGAAATGTAAGAAGAGTGGAGAAAGCAAGAAGAGTGGAGAAAATTGTAAAATTTATTTAACTTGGTTGGGCCTCATTCGCCCACTCAATTCCACTTAATTGAATGGGACACTGTATGCTCTTCATTCTAAGAGTTTTTATTAATCCCCTCATGAGAATGTATATAGTCTCTAGAGTTATGGAACCCAGCCCCGAACTCATTGTCAAATGCTACGATTACAGTCATGTCAGTGGAACGAGGCATGGACGGATTGACCAAGCCAGTCAGGAACAGAGCATTTAGGACCAAAATGTTCCTAACTTACTCGGAAGTAACAGTTACTTCTGGCCATCTCCCCATTTCCACTGCTTCCTATAACAAATCTGGTTTGACCTTAGTTCTTTGAGTTTTAATAATAGGACACAATTAATGAGCATAAGCAGATCAAAAGGACAGCAAAGGGCTGTGAGGTAAAAGAAATGTTTGGTATTTCCCTGGAACTTCTCCAGCTTTCAAGTCGCTGTCCAAAGGTCAAATTATTTTCACTTTTTTTTTAAATGAATCAAGATATATATAATCCAAGGTTATCATGCTGTTTTTCTTCCCCAGTATGGATTCATATCAATTAAAGAACTTCTGCCTTCAGGCTGAGCTGCCCTTTGCTTTTTTTTTTTTTGCCCTTTCCCCAAGTCACCTAAGGCACCGAAATGACTCCAGATAAGAGCAGACAGAGATATGGTGATTAACGTAACATAATAAAATTAAAAAAAAAAAAAAGCAGACAGAGATAAAGAAATTTCTACACCATGATATTAACAAGACTTGAAATAACAGAGTGCTCGGTGAATGTGTAATTGAAGAAATTATTTTTATCATTTCATGCAAATCAATGCCCAATCTCACCATTTAATTTAATGAAGGCAAATGTAACTCTCCTTTCGGAAACAACACCCCCTGGGCTCCTGCTGCATATTTCTGACTCATTTTCTCCCTCGAGTCATGATCTGACATCTATTTAAATCTAATTTCACCCGTGTAAACATGCTGTATGAAGGGCACAAATGGAGGTGTTCTTGCTGACATCACTCCCTAGAAAGAGCTGTGATGCGAACTGCATACTGAGATTAATTTGATACAGCAATTAACAACATTAAATCAAGAATGATATGAGAAAGGACAGACTTTAACCTGTGTGCAATGGGAAAGTGGGTCCAGAACAACAGGAAAATACCTTTGAAATGGCCCCTAGTCTTCTCTGCAGTAATAACCAACTACCTACAGAATCAGGAGAAAAATCCACTCTATAAGGAAATCACCTACTGAACATACAGGTTCTCTAATGTCCAGGAGATATGCAAAATGGTACTCATTGCCAGGGAGCTTAGCTGAGGAAATCCGGGGTCTATTAGACACTGAATATGCTCATTTAAGAAAGAAAACATTCAACTGTTACAACAAAAACTATGCTCATCCATTCCTGGTTTCCGAACCTTAGCAAGAATCAGGAGCCCTTCCTCACCCCACCCCTAATCCATTCAATTCAAAGAAGAGGATTTTGTTTGCTAGAGTTTAGACTCTCTTCCTCCAAAGTCAATGCTCTATTAAGCTTTCATGCACATGCCTGGGGTCCCTCAAATTTTTCCCTATCTGACTAAATGCTGCTCTTCTGCCTAAATAATAATGCCATTGACAACAAATCTGTTGATCTCTTAATATGCGTCGAGTATTCTACCTGCCTTTTCTTCCTGAATCTTCACAACAATCCCACAGAGCAGCAGCTAATGTTTAAGCTGCATTTTACAGAGGAGCAAAGCAATGGTTCAAGAAATTCAGTCACCGCACGAGTCCGAGAACTAGGAAGTGGCAGAGCGGAGGCCCAAACCCAGGGCTGTCTAGCTCCAGAGACCATTTCTTTAACTACAACTCTCTCAACTGTCTGTAGAAGAATAGAAAGTCTTGAAGAGGGGCGCCTGGGTGGCTTAGTGGTTAAGCGTCTGCTTTCGGCTCAGGTCATGATCCTGGGGTCCTGGGATTGAGCCCTGTGTTGGGCTCTCTGCTCAGTGGGGAGCCTGCTTCTCCCTTTGCCACTCCCCCTGCTTATGCTCTGTCTGTCTCTCTCTCTCTAATAAATAAATATACTCTTTTTTTAAAAAGTCCCTAAGAATCATTTAAGGGTTTCATTTAACAAACAAATCAAGGAATAAAGACCCCAAACACTACAACACAACCTCTTTTTGCTCCTATGTCTATATAAACATAACACAGCATTTAACACATCTGTCCCCCAAACCGCCTTTCGCTTCCATGACTAACTTTTCTGGTTCTCCACTCAACCATCATGCCGATGCTTCTTTTCCCATTCACATCCCAAATGTCAACATTCTCTGGGATTCCACCCTTGGCCTCCTCTCTCATTAGTCTAGTTCAAGGTTTTACAGAGTTTTTAAAGCAATGCCCAAACTGACAAACACATCCCCCTAATCCCAGCTCTGCCCTCCCTACCTAGGACTCCCATTCCTTCAACGATCCCCTGGGGGCTTGGGATTTACATCCAAGCCAAGCTTTGCCTACGTAAATGACTCAAAAATTCTAATTTCCTGCAGGATGTCCCACAGACCCCCTGTACTCACCACTGTCCAAACTTTAACTCAATCCTTACTATGAAATATGCATGTCTCATACGATCCTTAGCACCATCTCTCTTCACTCGAGTCAGAAATATCAGGACACCCTGGATCAGATACATCCCCTCATAGTCCACGTAGTTCATCCCTAAACCAGTCAATGTGACCTAAAATGTCTCTGGTCCAGGTAGACTTCTCCATTCTGATGGCCACTCTCCAGGTCAAGTTTCTCCCTTCCTCTCACATGAATGCCTAAAAACAGCCCTGTCCTCGTTGGTTTCCCTGATTTGGACTCTCCTCATCTTTGACCCAAGTTCCTCCTGCCCATCAGAACTATCTATTTCTTTACAAGAGACCTGACCACTTCACCCCCATGCCACCTTCCTTCCTAACTACTTCAGAGTAAAAGCCAGCCTGTGGGAATGGCACCAAGGATCCTTCAAAAGCTGACTACACTGGTCTCTCTTGTCTAGTTTCCACCTCTGATTCCATCCTCCCCTGGTCACTGTGGGAAAACTGTCATCCCCTTGAGTCTTATCTTTATCCTTCTGATTGGAATTAATTCCTCAAACCAACTGCCTTTTGAATCCCCCCTCGTCTTTATACAAACCCTATCAACACCATCAACATCTTCTTCCTAACCTAGCATAAGCAGCATTTTTTGTTGACAGAATTTTCCAGGATCTGCGTTTCACCCTTCATTACAAGCCAGGTCCTGCCTGGTCAGAGAGGCACGACTAACACCCACTTCTCCAAGGGACTTTTCCCAAGATTAAACAGCTAGTTAATTGATTATTAACTTTCTGAATGTTCTCCAAGTTACAAAAATAAATATGTATAATAGTTACCTCTCTATATATGTTAATATCATGAGCAACGTCCATTAAAAGAATTAAAAACCTGTAATAAACCATCCAGACAATGCCTTCTCTCGCAGTAATCTCTTACTTGTGTGTTCAACTCACTATTCACCCATTAATTCATCAAAGCAGAACATTCAAATCATCCTAAATATCTTATGGCTTTGCACTATTTGTGCACTTTTCCCAGTGATTCAGAGGACTTCAGTCTCCACCCAATGCCAACAAATATTAATGTGAGAGAGGTAATATAATCAAAATTAATGAACATTTAAGGAAGTTTTAAGTAGTTTAATGTGTTCACTCCTTCCACTCTGTATGTTTTAATCAATAGTTCTGACCTTGTTTTATTTTTACAAAAATTTCCAGCAATTCTATCAAGAGGTAATAAAAACAGAACATAAGAGAAAATTTCTAAAGAGGCCAACACATGGATCCCTTCAGTGGACAGAGGAGTGTTAGCGGCCCACTTTCTATTATGCGAACGGCCTGAACAGACATATCCTTAATTTCAACAATTATATCAAGGCAAGGAAATGCAAGGCTCAAGGTGCGGGGCTTGGTACCAACCTCCGCTGCTCTTCCCCGTGTTCTCCCGAAGGGACAGTGAGGCATTCATCCATGTGTCCATGCAGCAACCTGAGGACGTCACCACCAATTAGATATCCTGTAAGGATTGAAATTCAGTCACATTCGAACGGTCATGGTCAGATGCTGATAACCGGACAGATCATCTGGTCTGATCTTCTCTTTTCATAGACAGAGAAACAAACGTTTAGTGAGGCTTCAGTACCTGGCCAAAATCACAGAGATGAATGGTGCCACCTGCCTGCCACCTCTGAGCTCAAGGTTCCCAAGTCCCACAGGTAGTGATGTCCCCACTAGAAAACACGACCTCAAACCCCATAAAATCCTCCCTTTAACATACAAACATGGATAGGTTCAGATTTGAACCTGTATAAGTGAGAATAATCAGAACATAAATGCAGACATTTCCTGAGAAATCCTGACGCATGAACACTGTGTGATCTGGCTCTAAATCACCCAACCATGGAAGATGAGAAACCTCGATGTTAGCCTAACTGAGCAACACCCTGAAGCCAAAACATTGGAGCAAATAACATCTAGAAAGCTCGCCTATAAGCCACACACAAATAAGCAAAAGCTACAGTAGCATAAGAATAAAAATTAAAAAAAGATCAATCTTCACACAAAATTCAATTTCAAGTAGCGATTTGAACAAGATTCTTAAATGTCACGTATCTGCATTCCACAATACTCTGACACAAAATGCTCTAATTACCAATCTGCTCATTATCACAATTCCAGAGATGGCTGTCAACTGTGCATCTAGGACGAGCCCTCTCCTGGAAGTGGAGTTTTTACCTTGGGCGGCTTCGCTTCCTGAGCTGATGGGGGCCACGCTCCAGAGAGTCTGCTGGAAGGCAGCATCCACGTGTAAGCTGCTGTTGCCGTAAGACAGGTGCTGTGGGAGAGGTAAAAGGAGGCGTCTCTTCAGGTGCTTCGAAAGTCTCACTACCTAAGCGCTCCTGGCAGTTAGAACTTAACGCTGCAATCTGGAAATGTCCACTGAGAACATCTGTCCCAGTCCTGTCACTAAGTCATCAAGAGACTAGCAGAAGGAAAATGAGAGTTTCTGTCTGTATTTTTCAGCTTCATTCTAAGCCACTCATGAGAAAACACACAAACAAGACTACAAAAATAAATACATGTGTTAAAACAGACTGCTTTGTTTTAAGGTTTATTGAGGGACAAAACTGTTCAGATAGTGGGCACTTACCATTAAAATTGTAATTAAGTGTTCTACATATCACACTGCAACAGTTTTTTTGACAGTGAGGTAAGTAAAATCTACTTGGTTTTTATAGGGTCCTCTGGGAACTTTCTCTGCAATATGATATAATAGCCATTAGGTGGCAATGTTTCCTAATACGCATCTAAAACCGGGGCAAAAAAATTCCTCCAAGATTCAGATACTGCAAATTTCAGATTTTCCTTCTCAAAAATAGAAATGTACTAAAATAATATATTTCCTATCTTTGAGCACCATCATATATGAGTAATCAAATGATTAGTAAAGAAAAACAAAATTATGAGCACAGCCAAATGCGTTGCTCATTTGACTAATCACTACTTGGCTGCCTCTAGAATTTCAAATAGACATAGAACAACCACTTTTTCCTTAGAGTCATCTCCGTAAACATCACCAATATTCCTGTAATGTTTCTGCAACACTTCTCCAAAACTGAGGACGGTCTAAGCTTTTAAAGTCTTTAATTATATTAGATTTCCCCCCAGAAATCTGACCCTCCTAGTTAGATGAAGAGCAATCACAATCACACCGCTATGCTCCACGGGTCATTCGGACCCTGACGTTCTCTTACCTAAACATACCATTCTCAAGTCACTAGCAAAAATAGGTATTTCGATATCTTTCTCTTAGGAACAAAACCAAAGGAAGTTTTGACATTTGACACCCATACAGTCATCTTATCAATAATCTTTCCAATCAATAAAATTAAAAGTTTACCAGTTGATGCAACAGACTTGGCCATCACTCATCCTGACCCCCTCCCTCATCTCAAGGAGATGTGCCTGTTTCCAACCTCTTCACCTCAGCCTGGCCCGCTGACAGAAAATCCCAGCTGAAATTTGGATATTCAATTTCTTCCCCAATATTAAAAGTCTTTAAGTATTTACAAATAAATCACATGCGCTCTGCTTCCACAACCAACAAAAATATATGTTCTTTCAGAACAATCATCAAATGATGTAATTGTTCTGTGCATTTTTCTTTCCCCACCTCATAAGCTATTAGACATGGTTCATGACTATATACCTCACATCGAGCAGCGTTGTTCACTAAGCAAGTATGCGGGAGAAGCCAACCAAACCTTTAAAATCAAAGTAGTTTAAACCCAAAAAATTTCTTAAGTTATTCCATAAATATTCCTATTTCAATGACCTGAGTCAAAATAATGGCGTGCACGCACGCACACACACATCCATATGGATTTTCCCAAACCATGAGAAGACGATTCAGAATGCCAATGCTTATATTTTTACTTTTGAATTCGAGGGAAAGCTCATGCCACATTATGATAAATAGGTTACCATCATTTGTTAACTCATCATGTCTCACTGAATATGCTATGTGTGAAGCCCCGTGTTAAATATTAATAGAACACACTCTCTACCCTGAGGGTGCTTGTCATACGGAGGGGAAGGTAAAATATATACGCAAAATGCTATAGGTCAGCACTTTTTTTAAATGTTAGGTGAAATGTAATCAAAGTGCTACAGGAATGGAGAAGAAGAACATTTTAAAGATTTTATTTATTTGACAGAGAGAGATACAGCGAGAGAGGGAACACAAGCAGGGGGAGTGGGAGAGGGAGAAGCAGGCTTCCCGTTGAGCGGGGAGCCCGATGCGGGGCTCGATGCGGGGCTCGATCCCAGGACCCTGGGATCATGACCCGAGTCGAAGGCAGACGCTTAACGACTGAGCCACCCAGGCGCCCCAGAGAAGAAGAACATTTTAGCCAACCTAACTGGAACAGAGTTCATTACATGGAACCTTGAGGACAGGTGGCATCTGCATAAGACAAGGTATTTCCCGTGGGATGAGGGCTTTCAGGGGTCAGTAGTACTGTGTGGTCTGGGCATCACGTTTCTCTATTTAGAGTTGTTGTCCCCAAGTAAGTTTGTACATACATTGGATTTGGGTATGTACAGTAATAATGTTAACGTGCTAAGTAGAAATGTTTAAAACACGCCAAAATTTTTACGAGACAACTTACATTTTATAAGCCAGTTTGGAGATTTTCATTTTTAATATACCAGAAACGTCATAATGGGAAGTGGCCTGGACCTGCTTAGCCCTCCAAGAGGCTCTGTTAACGGGAATGCTATGACAAAGAGCAGAGGGTCCCCTCCCCAAAGGGGCAGAGATATGGGAACGTCAAGTACAGCAGTTTCACCTGTGGGGCTTAGAGCATATGCTTAGGAATACAGTGAGAGATGGATCCACAGAGAAGTCAGGTGCAAGGGCCCTTATACTTCAGACAATAAGGAGTCACTGCTGTGGGAAAATAATGGGGGTGGGGAGGTGGGTTAAGACGCAGTTTTCAAATCTTATCTAAGTCGAAAGATAAATAATACATAGGAGAGGATCATAAAAATATGAAAATTTCAGTCTGCCAGAGAAAGTCCTAAAAATGTCCTTCAGATCATATTATCGTATTACACTGTATAAACTTATCTAGATAACGCTCACTCTTCTCAAGAAAATACTCTCTAGGCATAAGTATTTTGGATGCTTCTAATTAATTTTGCTGCTTAAACAGCAAAAGGAAATTTGAGGAAGAACAACATCAAGTCAGGCCTGTCGCATTAAATATTCAGAATGTGGTAACAAGTTCAATTACTAAAACAAAGATGAGTTGTCCTTAAAGCAAAACAGATGTTGCCAGAGGTTGAAAGCAAAGTGGGCCTTAGGCTGAAACATGTAACTACTCTAGAATTTACATACTATGGTAGCATCAACCCACCAGCAAAGGTCACCTTGACGTTTCTGTTAGTGACTCTCAAGACCCAATACCCACAGGAATCAGGTGAGGATCTTGTCAAAAAAAGCAGATTTGAACTCAGGAAGTGTAGGGGAGAGGGGTGGCAACCAAGGCTGCTGGCCCCAGAACGGTGTTTTGAGTAACAGGACATTATACGATAGAAGCACAAAAACTCAGAAAGAGAGAGGATATTCTAAAATAACCAGAACTCCACTTTGGTAACTTTTAGTTTTCTTTGTTACCCTATGCATATATTTTAAGCATTTTAAAACCTTATGATCACAAGCGGTCAATAAGCTTTCTCAGGTTGCCAAAGGGGTCTATGGCACAAAAATTTTTAAGAACATCTGAATTCAACCCTTATCAGATGCATTTATTCAACACATCTATTTCTCTAAGCGTCAGGCACTTAGGCCCCGGTGAGCAACATTCTGGATAAATTATCATCCAGTGACAGGGAACACAAGTAAGCAAGACATATCACCCTGCGGGCTTCATTTGTTTTCTTCTGAGAAAAATGAGGGGCACAGAACAGACACTCTTTCCACATGTAATATTCTACACTTCCATCACCTGAGCCACAGACAGAAAAAAAGAAAAAGGCTCACAGTAAATAAATAAATAATGCACTGGCTGATAACCATAATTAGCTTGGAAATATTTATGATCGCAATCCTTTTTAGTTATCGATATTTTTATGCAACTTGAGGCAGCTCAGCAACTTATTCTGCCATCAAAACACCTAGTATCTCTTATCAGAAATTCAGAGATGGGTAGGGGAGAGGTAGGGAAGTTCTTAGGAAGCCCAGAAGAGTCTTCTTTAAGCATCTGTCATCACTCTTTAGATTGTGGGGTTCTGCTCTTCCCGATTTACTTTTAGACATTTGTTTGTTTGGCAATGTTTTCATGGCTCTTAAAAAAAAAAAAAACACAAAACCTGTCTATTTCTATAGGTGACCTAATTAAGAAAAAATTAGTCAAAAATCAGTGTTTCCAATGCAAGCAATCCAAACCACGGATTGAAGACTTCTGTGCATACCAACGTGATTTTACATCTTTCTAAACCAGTAAAAATTGTTTTGTTTGCTTTACCTTGTTTTGTTTAGTTTGAAATAGATTCAACAGTCAGCAATACCTACTTGGCCATGTTTTCTCTATTTTAAATTGTATATTTCTCTTATGTTTAAGCAGCTTTGCCCAAGTCTTCCTGAAAAAAAAAAAATAAGTAGTTCCAATTGGAGCAAAGGAATTTTTTTTTTCCCCTCTTGGACATCCCTGAAAAGGGGATTAAGATATCATTCCATATTAGAATATGAAACGGCCACATGAGAAAAGACAGAATTTGGATGGTGGTTTACAACCATTTCTAGAGATAAGACCCTTTATTCCTGGGAAATCATGCGTGGAGGTCCAATGTGTAAAGCAGGGGAAGATGGAGCCTGGGGTGCCTGGTACCTGACACAGCGCCCTCTTCTGTCCATGAGGCACCTCTGCAGAGCACAGGACTGAAAATCAGTCCCTTACAGTCCAATTTAACCCATTCAGCACCCCAACAGTTATGAGCTATTGTAGAGCATCAAATGCACATTTTGATAGTTTAACCTCAGCTTAACCATCACTGTTAGTGGACAAAAAACAGATCTAAGGTCAATAGACACTAACGACTAAAAAGTTACAAAATCAATGACTAGAAATGTTTATTTAGAGCAGTTAGTTTTAACTACTGTGTGTTCAGCCAAGAATGTGAACCTGGCTTTCCACGCTAAGCCTTTATTTAAAATCAACTATCCTACTCCCTTCACTGCTCCCATCCCAACTTTTTCTTCTGGTTAAATATCTGCAGTTTCCTTAACCATTCTCAATAAATACAAACCTCCCAGGTAAACAGTGGTAGCAACTCATAAGCAATTCCTACATGTACCATTCACAGAGCTACGAGTCTTGCTTGGATCAAAGCATTTAATCCTCTTAACACCCCTGTGGGCTAGGTTTATCATCACTTTACTGCAGATGAAGAAACTGAGGGTTTTGCGAAGTTATGTGATTGGCCAGGCTCATACTTACCAGGCCCTACACCAACTAACAAATGTATCAACACACAGAGCCCATTTTTAGGTATCCAGTTTCAGTATGTGGATTATTCCAACTGCCATATTCCAAAGACCTTTTACTCCCTCACTTCTTGCCCGTGTGCACTTTCTCTAGATTCTTCTAATCAACCACAGTGCAACGTGAGATAATAATTAACCATCTCTATATCCCGTACCAATAACCTAAACGGTAACACGTATTTACTGCCTTGTATTATTCTCATACAGTTCCCTAGGTGTTTGGTTCATTCCTTCCACTAAGTTTTTGACGGAAGAAACCATGCACAACATACCCTTGGTCCTTCCTATGGTTTCTACGACAAGCTAGGTGCTCAGAGATAAACACTGAAAACACTGACTTCGTTACCCGATGAAAGGGAAATCTTAACAGTCTGGTTGGCCACCGTGTGTAGCTCTCTAAAAGGTTACCAGAAAAGGAACTTGCATAAATGGGCTAAAATGTAGCTTGAACATAATTTGTGAATTTCATTAATCATGACATTTAGTGATTTCTAAAGGCAAGAGAAGGTGAACCTCATGCATTAGGATTATTGCTCTTATTTGTATAGTGCTTTTTCAATCAAACCATATTCAAATTCATTATCTCATTGCTTCATCCCAGGAACTTTGTGTTAAGTATAATCATCACCATTTTGCAAATGAGAAAGCCAGAATTCAAGGAATTACACGCCTCTCTCCGACATGTGGTGGCAGAATTGATGCGAGAAGCCACCGGCCCCTGCAAGACTGCGAGTTTTCTACTCCTTCAGTGCGAAGTACAAGTTGTACAGCAAAAAACATGCACCGTTATGCCAAAATCAAAATAAGATCTGTAGATCTTTAAAAGCATGCACGGATTATTTTTAGCTGCTATTGGTTTCCATGTAAAACTACAACTCAAAATGTCTATCTCCTGATCAAGACATACAGTGCCTGAATACACAGCATATGCACACAGCAAGGGCTTCATAAATGCTTCTTTTTTTTTTTTAATTTTTTTTTTGAGATTTTTTTTTTTTTTTTAAGATTTTATTTATTTATTTGAGAGAGAGAATGAGAGACAGAGAGCATGAGAGGGAGGAGGGTCAGAGGGAGAAGCAGACTCCCCGCCGAGCAGGGAGCCTGATGCGGGACTCGATCCCGGGACTCCAGGATCATGACCTGAGCCGAAGGCAGTCGCTTAACCAACTGAGCCACCCAGGCGCCCCATAAATGCTTCTTGACAAGCTGACACACTTGTATTGCCCTAGAAATGTGGATGGAGCCTGTTTCCACCGGCATCGGTTAAGAGACAAAAGGAGAGAAACGCTCCAGGCCTCCCCTTAGCGAGGCAATGTTAGATGTTCCATTTAATTTAATACTCCCTGTCAGTTACATGAACGCTGTTCCATCATTTCCCTGGCTTCATTATTCCCTCTTTGCACAAAGCAAGTAAAACAAAACCGTTCTTCTCTCAAAATTGGAACTAAATGGGTTGGGAAGCAAAAACTGACTTCCAATACCCCCAAACCCACTCTAACTCCATGTTCATTGAGCAAGGGATACCAACCACCTACTTAATCCTAAATCCATGACACAGAAATAATATTTTGATTTATGGCAGTTGGAATACACTTTCTATAAATCAGTGTGTGCTTAAATGAAACAATGTTTTACTTCTGATTTTTATTTCAATCATCATCCACTATGATGTTTGGATTTTCTTATATAAATATTCATGTAAAGTTTATAATACCCCTATTTATATCTGTTTAGTTACTTTCTCTTTTTTTAAAAAGATTTAAGTAATCTCGGGGCACCTGGGTGGCTCAGTCGGTTAAGCATCTGCCTTTGGCTCAGGTCATGATCCCAGGGTGCTGGGATCGAGCCCCACATTGGGCTCCAAGCTCAGCAGGGAGTCTGCTTCTCCCTCTCCCTCTCCCTGCCGCTCCCCCTGCGTGTGCTCTCCTCTCTCTGTCAAATAAATAAATAAAATCTTTAAAAATATATAATAAAAGATTTAAGTAATCTTTACACCTAAAGTGGGGCTTGAACTCACAACTCCGAGATCAAGAGTTGTACGCTCTACGGACTGAGCCAACAAAGCGCTCCTGTTAGTCTAATTACTTTTTCATCCTTAAAATAAAAAGCATATTTTGCACTGGCATCCTTCTTCGAACTTTGGTATATGATTATTCTTCAGCAAAAATACAGTTTACTAAATAAGTGAAATCAAATATATCATGGCCTCGCCACAAAAATAAAATACACCTTCAAAGATGACACCTAAACTTTTTTCCTTCTCCCATTTCTAACCCTGGCCCTCGGAAACGTCATGTGGATGAGAGACTGTAGCTGGTTTTCATTTTGTATAGTTCTCCTTTCTCAACACGGCATGAATTTCTCATATAATGACTTGCTTTTATAAGTGTCATAACTGGTACTCACAACCTCATTAATACTGCCTTCTTCCGTGGCCACAAAATAAGGTCCGTGGAATTTTGAAATCCTGATTAGACCGCATTTACATGCCACTGATACAATAATTTAAGAATAGGTGCTGTCAGGATCACAGACACACAAACTAAGGGTACCCGGGAAGCCTGTCTTAGATAAACCTAGAAAACCATGCTACCACAAAGGTCTCATTATTCCCTGTCTTAGGGAGTTGTCACTCATCAAAGAGAGATACGGACTTATTTCTAAGCAATTTCCCTAGATAATTTGCAATCTACAGAGAAAGCTGGATTGGCCTGTGCTGGATCCTATCGGTAAACACATGACAGCATGGGCCCACTTACCAGGTACCTCTCAGAGGACACACTGACCAAGATGAGGTCATCTCCAACTCGAACCTTTTCTCCTTCCGATCGCTGCTTAGAGGCAGGATGAATGGTCCACCAACAAGCCTCCCCTGCAGGATGAACACAAAGAGGCACCTCTTACTGTAAAATCGATTTTCTTGGCCAGCGCCTCCAAAATAAAAGAGGGAAATGAAATAAGGCTTCCAAATCAGTCTCCTGATAAATAAAATGGTCTTTCCCACACAGCTTCCCGAAGTTTGAAATTGACTGCAAGTTCATCTCGCAGACCACAAAAATCAAAAGACTTAGGCCAAATTAACTCAGGATAAAGACATACTGAAATGCAAAGATTCTTTTCATGGAACCCGATTGTGGCATTTTGCAAACTTTGGTGTCTCCCCCCTCCACTAAGAATTGTTTAAAAGGCTATTTATTTATGCTACCATAAGGTCAAATTTACCAGTCACGCTGATCTTCCTGCATTCTTTATATAATCACATGTTCATTGCTCTCTGTACTAACATCTAGTTTTCTGGCACATGATTTTCAAAAGGATTTGGGGTGTGGTAATGCAACAGTTCTGTTATAACAATTTTAAAATGCTGTACGTGTAGGGGATACGGATTAAAAATACATTCAAAGTCACTGAAATTTTACTATTCTGTGCCTTGTTTTATTCTTTATTTTAAAATGTGATAGTTTCCACTAACCTAAGGGTAAAATATAAGAGAATCCTACTATAGAAGGATACATTATAAAAATATCTGGGTACACATTAAATCAAATCATTTCTTCTAGAACAAGTCAAGCATAAGCCTCATGAGCCACATATCAATTCATTCTCCAGGCCCATTAGCTAAGATATAAACTTATGCAAACAATTCTTCAATCTGTTTATAGTTCCTTTTAGAATCTAAGTGTAAGTTCTATCCAAAAATAGATTTCAGTGGTATCTGTTATCTAATACTTATTTTGTCCCTTGGCCAGCTTTATTGTTTTTCCCTAAACACTTATTTTTTCTTCTTCACTAATTCCCCAATGTCAGAATTTAAGTTCCGTAAGAGCAGGGACTTTGTGTATTTTGTTCACTGGGGTTTTCCCAGATCCTACTAGAATACTGTAGGCACTAAATAAAAATTCAATTTGCATAAATGGGTAAATTAATCATCCAATAACATTTTTTAAGCATTCATACAGCCAATATGTAATGTACCCTGAGATGCTTTTCTTAGACAAATCACAGTCTTACTTGAATGTCACCTTACAGGATTCATTATTCATTCAATTCACATTTTTAGAGTTGCAGGGAGTTTTCATTCATCCACTCAAACATTTATAAAGCAACCACTATTTGTCAATCATTACTTTAGTAGCTGGGGATAACATCGATAAGCAAGGAAGAAAAAGTCACCTGCCTTATGAGTTTAATTCTGATTCAGGCAAGCACCTAACAAATAATAAATCTAATAATTCAGCAATTCAGATGAAGTAAAAAGCTATGGGGAAAACTGTAGCATAAAGGGATCAGACTTAGGCAGAGGGACTGCCTTGTTTTGTTGTTTTGACTCTTACATAATCATCTCAATGTATGAAAACAAATTATAGATCATGCATGTCCTTTACTCCTTTTGAGAGAGAAAACTGAAGACTTTTTCATGTAACTGCTGCTGAAAATCAAAATGAGAAAATTTTTAACAACTAGCAAAAACAAAGAGGAATGACTGAGCTTCTATAAAATGAAATAAAAATCAAAACAGTATTTATCTTGGGGCACCTGGGTGGCTCAGTAGGTTAAGCATCTGACTCTTGGTTTCAGCTCAGGTCATGATCTCAGGGTCCTGGGATGAGCCCCACAGGGGGCTCCGTGCTCAGCAAGTAGTCTGCTTCTGCCCCTCCTCCCGCTCTCCTCCCCTCTCTCCCTACCTCTAAAATAAATAAATAAAATCTTTTTTAAAAAAAAGCAAAAACAAAGAAAACCGTACTTTTTGGTGCCTAGGATTCTGGAATTTGTCATGCATAGGGATGTGCTGGTCTCTTAAAAGTTAATTAGGTTGGTGAATATTACTTTATGTTTGTTGTCTGTGAAAAATTTAGAGTATGGGAAAGTATGTTTTTTAGAGATTTGAGAGAGAGAGGGAGCAATCAAAAGAAAGCATAAGATGGGGGGAGCAGAGGGAGAGGGAGAAGCAGACTCCCCACTGAGCAGGCAGCAGATGTGGGGCTCCATCCCAGGACCCCAGGATCACAGCCTGAGCCAAAGGCAGACACTTAACTGACCAAGCCACCCAGGTGCCCCTGGGAAAGTATTTTAAAAATAGGAAGAGGGGGTAGGTGTGGGGGCAAAGCTTGATCCCACCTCTGAAAGTAACTACTTAATAAGAGTTGGTCTATTGCCCTCCTTTTTTTCTACTTGGTCTTTTTACTTATTTTTAATTCCCAAGTAATGCGTATTCATTGTAAAAGATAATCACATTGTACAGAGGTGTATAAAGTATAACAGAAAAGTCCTATTTTGATTCTCTGAGAGGATAAATGTGTTTATGTACACATTTTGTTTCAAAGTATAAAAATACATGTGTATTCAGACAGATATGTAGCCCTCTGGACACAGAAATGAAGCCGACTTTCATTTTCTATCTTTTTGTTTGAATGCTAACATTAAGTATGTTTCATTTTTTAGACAAACTATTTTTAAGATAAATGATAAAAGCGCTATGCAGTTATATTTCATGAACAGATCAGTGCACACTAATATGGTTAGCTTCCAGTAAAGCATATAATAGGTTTTGTTTTTCTAGCCAAATCACTAAAAAGAATAGGGTTTGAGGTATAGTTTGAACACCCAGCTAATTACGTGGGAATCACAAACCAATAGGAACAATATACACTTCCTCCTTCTACTAAAAACTTTCCTTAGAAAGGCATTCTTTTTTCCTGACTCCACACATAAGAACATTTACCTAACATATCTTTGTGTCTTAGGACTTCTTCCAGTCCCATCCCTGCCATGCTCTCTCGGAACACAGCCTCTTCGGGGACCAAGGTGCTCACCTGTTGTGTCCTCTTGCAAGCCAACATCAAAGGCCAGTTTATCAGTTGAAGACCGGGAGGTGGACAGGCAGCAGAGATACTAAAAGATATAGAATCAGCAGTTGTCACTGAACATTTTTAGTCTGATTCTGACACATAATTTGCTATCAGTAAATCTCTGCTCTATCAGTCTTTTCCTTCACATCTGGATGCTTCACTGCAAAACCCAGGTTCTTCATGGGAGGTAAAAAAACATTTACACAGCATTCATTAGGAGCAATGTTCTAAAGGAGATGCACTCTTTTTTTTCCCCTCATCAAAAGATTGAGGAACTGTGTTCTGAGGAAATGAAAACAAAACTAGAAGATAAAAGACGTAAAAGACGACACCTTATTGGGGATATGTTTGTACATCTCTCACTTCACGGGATATTCATGATCATAAGCAGAAGTACAACCTGATCTGACTGTTGGAAATCTTTTTCCCGACAGAAATTGGAAAACTGCTCACTCTCATCTTCTAGTTTTGTTTTCATTTTTAAAATTTTAACTCTCTGAAATCCATCCGGAATTTATTTTGGTGTGCAGCATGTCACCTCACTGCAGTGAGGTTCCCACAAGTGTGCACATGTGTGTTTCCCCTGGAACAATTCAACTCTTGCAACACCATCATCTCCTTAGATCTCCCCATCCTCTTTCAGTTTCCCTAACTGTATATTCTTGGACGTAAAGTTTCAGATCATTGTCAGCCCAACTCCCTTAACCCCATTCTAACCTCAAAAACGTTGTTAACTGGTGTAAGAATGAGGACACAAGCTGGTGAGGATGCGGAGAAAGGGGAACCCTCCCTCCTACACTGTTGGTGGGAATGCAAGCTGGTGCAGCCACTCTGGAAAACAGTAGGGAGGTTCCTCAAGATGCTAAAAATAGAGCTATCCTAAGACCCAGCAACTGGGTATTTACCCCAAAGATACAGATATAGTGAAAAGAAGGGGCACATGCACCCCATTGTTCATAACAGCAATGTCAACAACAGCCAAACTGTGGAAAGAGCCCAGACGTCCAACAACAGATGACTAGATAAAGAAGATGTGTTTTGTGTGTTTGTACACACACACGCACACACACACTGGAATATTACACAGCTATCAAAATAGAAATCTTGCCATTTGCAACGATGTGAATGGAACTAGAGGGTATTATGCTAAGCGAAATAAGTCAATCAGAGAAAGACGAGAAAAATATGATCTCACTGAAATGTGGAATTTAAGAAACAAAGCAGAGGATCATAGGGGAAGAGGGCAAAAAATGAAACAAGATGAAACCAGAGAGGGAGACAAACCATAAGAGACTCTTAATCTCAGGAAACAAACTGAGGGTTGCTGGAGTGGGGGGTGGGGGGGTGAGAGGGATGGGGTGGCTGGGTGATGGACATGGGGGAGGGTATGTAGCACTGTGTGTTGTGCAAGACTGATGAATCACAGACCTGTACCCATGAAACAAATAATACATTATATGTTAATTAAAAAATAAAAAACAAATAAATAAAACTCGGCATTAAAAAAAAAAGAATGAGGACACAAGGATGGATGTAGCATGAGGTCAAGATACACTACCATCTACAGCAAACAAGGCACCATCAGCAAGAACAGGAGCCCTGCAAAGAGTACTCAGAGCCAATTCCAGGCACTGAGCAAGTCCAGATCTCCCAGAGTCACTGGACAAATAATGCAAAGCCTAGAAAATTCTTACTGGGAAATTGGTCCACCCACCTCAGTGGGTGTCTGTGAGTGTGAGGAGCTAGGAGATGAACCAATCAGGGGATAGATGTGTTGACATATTAAGTGGAAGTCAGTGCCATGGGGATATAAAATCAAATTCACCTCGAGATTCCAATTTCTGTCTCTTGACAGCAAAACACTGGCTCCCAAGGTTATAAAAAAGATACTTTTAGGGTCCCCAAACATGTTCTTAGCCAGTATAGAAGCGTGAGTCTGACCTTGAGAAAGGCTGCCCTTGGTGGTACCTGAGGTTTATAGACTTTAGATCTAACCATACTAAGTGTTCCATGATATTTTGTAATAATATTACAGTACTAGGCACTGTACCTATTAACATACATTTTCTCTTCCAATAATGTTCACAGCAACTATGATGTAAGTAATATAATTATTCCACTAAATGTTCATTAAGTTCCATGAGTACAAGGACACGATCTTCTTCACTACTATATACAGCACCTTGAACAGTGCCTAGCACACAGTAGGTGCTAAATAATATTTATTGAATAAATGAATAAAATGTTAACATGCAATTACAGGTTTAAAGAAGTTCAGCATGGTCTCCAAGGCTGAACAGCATATAGGAAAGTGAGCCTGAACCCAGATCTACTGACCAAGTCCAGGCTCCTAACCCACTATGTACAGGGAGTTTTCTTAAAAACAGACCCTCATGTTTATTATTTAATGCAGTTTTGTGTTTTGATTGGTATTAGAAGTAGAATTCTTTCCATGTAATTTTAATGCATGACTGCTGTATGCAAATAGGTTGCATTGATATATTTATCTAGTATCCAGCCACTTTATTAAAGTACATTCCTTATTTTATCTCTTATCTTGCTGTGTCAGCCAAGATTTCTGGAACACTGTCAAATAGATATTTTTGGGTTTTGTTTATTTGTTTGAGTTAGTTTTGTCAAGAATCACTTTAGTGTTTGATAATTAAAATTTATATTGGTTACTGATTTGACATTTATCACTGAGAAATTAATCATCAATGCTTAGTTTTTATTAGAAATGGATGTTGAGTTTTATTAAATAGTTTTTCAGCACCTATTAAGATGATCACAATTTTTCTTATTTGATTCTATTTATATGATGAAGCACACTAATAGAAATGATATTATTAAGGCATCATTAAAATCATTTCTATACTTTCCCTATACTTTTCCTATGCTTTTGAATTCTATTAACCAGAATTTTAAGTCAGATGTTCACACTGGTATTTGTGATTAAGACTGACAATTTTTTATATATTTTGGGTATTGATATTGAGCCTATGCTTAGTCACCTGTTCTGGAATGATTTAAATAATATCAGAACTCTCTCCTTCCTGAAAGGAATAATCAATTATATTATACTTTCAAATGTTGGGCCATCATGTATTCACAAAAATTATATTGATGAAAAATTTAAATAATGTGGAAAATGCTTATGCTACAATAATATATTTTTAAAAATCAGGACATAAGTTTGGTTATGTAGTAAGATCTCAATTATGTAAAAAAATTAAGAACAGAGAAGATTACAATTTTTTAGAAGTCCCCACACTTTCTCTCATTAACATGATCATGAAGAATTGTGTCTTCTGTAATTTCCAAATTTCATAAAATGAATATGAACTGCTTTTATTAACTTAATAAAGCTTTTAAAAGAATGGAATGACATTTTTATATATTTTATAAAATATATGAAATGTATCGTTTATATAACATAAAAATATATAGAAGTGCACATATATCTAGATAGATGGAAATGTATATGGTTATTTATACCTATAAGGATAACCCATGTGGATATAGCTTTTTTTATCTTATCTGTTTAATTTACTTAATCTAATAAGTCATTTTTCTAATAAATGAACTGTTTAAAAATAACCAGAAATGAGAAATATTTCTTGGCTCTCACACCTATTTCCTCCTAAAACTAGTCTATTAAAAGAGACTAAAAAATAGGAGTCCCAAATGATAGAACTGAAGGACTTTACAGGTCATCTAAGCTAACTCTTATTTTATAAATGAGAAAATTAAACAGAATACAAAGATATTAAAGAACACATGCAATTACAGAACTCATAATACCATCACTAGAAAAGCTATTACCAACACTTCCTGATGGCATATGTCTAAGAGATGATACCAAAATGCATACTCACCATGCCGCTGTAGGAATGACGTAGCAGTATGGCATGTCCATAGAGGAGTGTCCGATGACCGCCACCTTGAGCAGTCTGTGGAGAGAAACGAAAGGGTCAACAAGAAAAAAAAAAAAAAAGAGTAAGCTTAACAGTCAGTAAGATACTCTCCTTTTTTTTTTTTTAAAGATTTTATTTATTTATTTGAGAGAGAGAGAATGAGAGAGAGCACATGAGAGGGGAGAGGGTCAGAGGGAGAAGCGGACTCCCTGCCGAGCAGGGAGCCCGATGCGGGACTCAATCCCGGGACTCCAGGATCATGACCTGAGCCGAAGGCAGTCGCTTAAACAACTGAGCCACCCAGGCGCCCGATACTCTCTTGTTATCAAGAAAAAGTTGAATAGGAAAGAACAAAGTAAAACTAAGCAAAGTTCTGTCGAAAGAATATTTAAATTGGAATAAGGCTATCAAGCAAATCTCTACTGTGGGGTTGGCAGTTGATCTGGTCCTCAAAGAATGAACTTGATTTTGGTAACTAGTCATAATTTGTAATTATTTTTTCATGGTTAGTTATTGTATTCCCCATTATATTATGATCTGCATTGGGTAGGGACTATGGTACTTTATTCACCATCCTCCCCCAGGTTCCTAGCAAAATGCCTAGCACACAATAAGGATAATTATCTGTTCAATGAATGACTCTTTCTAAAACACAAAATTGATCAAATCATCTCCAGGTTTAAAATTTTCTCATGGCCTCCAACTTTTTTTAAAAAAGAGAGTTTACATTTTTTTATATGAAATAGAGGAAGGCTTCTCAAATTTTAGCAGGCTTACAAATCACCAGGAGAGCTTAGGATAAAGAGTGAGGATACTAATTTGTGTATACTTTAAGAAGTGAAGAAAGCACATTAATATCTAATACTACTATACCTCTTTCCACTCAAAAGATATCCCCCCCTCACTATTGTTCCATACAATTTCTAAAAATAACTTTATTTACATGTTATGTTTAAAAGACCTCAAAACCGTTCTTAAAACAGGTATGGAAAGGTCTTCCAATAAGAAAAACTGCTTTTAAAAAAGGAGAATCACTTTTCTCATATACTGAGAGTAAAAGGGAAAAATCTACTTTGCAAAATCACATTCCTCCTCAGAACGAGGCCCTCTTTAAAAAGTACTTTCATTTTTTTTTTAATATGTTTGATTTAGTGTGGCTAAGAACAATTTTATTCACCTTGTCTGATTTGGATCACTTTGATAGGAGCTTACCTTTTCAAACCAGATGTGGGCTCCAAAGCCATAAAATACTGAACTTGAATAACACTCGACAGTCATACCAATTAAAACAAGATTTTTTAGAAATGAAGGACAAGGCTTTAGATTTAACCCAAAAGCGTTAAGTGCTCCTTTTATTCTAAAGCTTTGCCTATAGAGTTCACATACATATAGTATGTATGTATGTGTGTATACACACACACACACACAAACATGCACACACATACATATATAAATGTTCAAATTGGTTAAGCTAACACAGATATTGTAGTAGTGTCATAGTGTCTGAATTTTCTTTCAACTATAGATTTTACACAATTAGACAATCACAGATATTTACACTATAGATTTCCTCACTACTTAAATACAAACTTATTCCACAGATTTAGTTTTAATAGAACACCCGTAAAAGTATGCAGATAACCCACAATAAATTAACTTTGTTACCTAAGAGAGCATTTTTTTTTTAAGATTTTATTTATTTGACAGAGAGAGAGAGAGAGCCAGAGAGAGAGCACAAGCAGGGGGAGTGAGAGAGGGAGAAGCAGGCTTCCCACGGAGCAGGGAGATCGATGCGGGGCTCAATCCCAGGACCCTGGGATTGTGACCTGAGCCGAAGGCAGACACTTAATGACTGAGCCACCCAGACACCCCTTAAGAGAGCTTTTAACACAAAGTGAATGCAATTTCTTTCACAGGGTCTACAATACTTTTCCTCTAACTTGTCATTTTAAAAGATACTACTCTAACTGGCTCTGAATCAGAAAAAAAAAAAAATGTGTAATTTCCACTCTTGAGCAGATTGGATAACCTGTTCATTCAACAAACATTTATCAGAAAAAAAAAAAAATTATGTATGTGAGATGCATCCAAAGATGTACCTTGGTTCTTCTGTGTTTTTTTGATTTGGTCAGTCATGTTAATTTTTTTGGTAATTTGGCCTGCTCCTTGCTTTAATTGAAGTGAGCAAATATTTAGGGACTTCCTTTGCTGTAGGGAACTTCTGGTAGCCACTTCTAGGGTTATACCTTCAAGATTCTACAACATTGTGCCTCGTGTGGACTGTTGGACTCCCCAGAGCAATTTCAATGAGAAAAAGATAATCACTGCTGGGTGATGTATCAGAAGCAGTTGTAATTCAGGACCCTGGAACAAAGGTCCATTTTCCCTTTAGCCCCCCAAACCTAAATCTATAAGTACTCAGCTATATGACGGTATTATGCTATGAGAATCCCGCTAGGACCAACTAGATAGGAGATAATCAAGCTCATGGAGCAGGAAGCTAAAGGCTGGCCTGCCTTTCAAGATCACACACAGGAAAAGATAATCTTGGCATTTTTTGAAGTTAACATTTTAACTGTTAACACATGGGTAAAGTAAGCAGAGCTTTCAACTGTCCCAATTCAAAAAAAGTAGAAAATTAAATTTTACATAAGGTGAATACACTTTCAACTCACACTAATGCCATCTATACTTTAACTAATCCTGCTAATTCTCCAGTAAGTATTCTAGGAAAGAAACACTCTGTCCTATTCATTCAAAAAGTATTTATTCGAAGGCTACTGTCTGAGAGGTATGATAACCTGATGCCAAGGGTATCATGCGTAACAAGCTCACATTATATCTTCTTCCGCATTGAGGATCAACGTTTTCTCTGAAAACCAAAATTATTTATTCACTCAACAATTATATACTGGATCCCATGTAGTTTCCTTCAAATATTTGCACACTAACAGCAAAGAAAATGAAGTTAAAGCATTAACATACAAATAATGGAATGTTTCTTAATGCCTCCAACTACATGATGCATTATCAGATCCTTTTCGTACAATATTACCTGAAATTGATATGCCCTTGAGGTACATTTCCAAGTGTGACTTAGGCCCCACCTGTCCCTGAAAATGTAGCTGTCAATCCACAGTGCCCCAGCTCTGCCCATTTGCTAGAGCCTGTGCTGTTGGTTAGTGAGCTGGCCCCAGGCAGAACCAGGATCTGGAAGTCAGCCTCTGCTAGCTACTGGGGTCTCCTATAGATGTGGGGTCTACGTGAAGGAGCTGCTGCCCTCTTAGGGAAAACAACAACAACAAAAACATTAACAACTGTCATCCCCAAACTCTCTCCGAATTTTGGATGCTGGAGAACTAAGCATCAGTTATTAGAAGGTAAAATTTGACTTTTTGAAATTATCAGTTAAAAACGTGTTTTTGGTGTGTGTGGGTTTGGTCCCCTTACCCCTGAAATAAACTGACAGGGTTAATGATACACAGCTGTGTAAAAAGAACAAGAGCTCATGAGCTGTAAGTGGATAAAAGAGTCCAGAATACATTCAAACACAATCTAAGCAACACTGCTGTATGTATTCTAAACCAGCCTCGTTTTACACAAATTATCTTAATATCAGTTTAGTATTAATAAGCATTCATATGCCTCTAGCTTGCCAGGATCTTGCCAAAGATGTCCAGTTAGGAGACCCATATTATAACTGAAAGCTCTGATGTAAATGCGTCTACATTTACGTTTATTTAGAACAATATGCAGTCGATGGGCATATAATGTATTCATCTGTTATTCTCTGTGGGAAGGGGGACAAATTGGATCACTGTAACTACATCTGAATTATTACTATCAGAACTTAAAATGTAAGAGCAGAAAAGTATAAAACATAAAACCGTAATAGCAATGACTAAGATAAACTAAAGGCGTTTATATGCACATAAAAATTATTGGCACTGTGTTTCTGTGGTTTGGTTTTTTTTTTTTTTTTAGCTCTGTTCTTTAAATATGTGTGTTATATACTGGCTTATTAACATGTCACTTGTATGGCTGCTTTTAAAACTAATTTACTAATCACATAATATCTAAATATTTTAAGTTTTCTGTTTTTCTAGTCTTTTCTGTACAGAAATGTTATGTTAACAAATGGAGGACATTTCTCATAATTCCAGGCCCTTATTATGCAAACATTTTTTTTAATAAGTCAGACTACAGAAATTCTCCATAGCCCTTGACTGCTATGACATAACATGCCATTTTAGAAATAAAACAATGAAATCTTAACAAGAATTTATTACTGCAGGTAATACTTAGCTAAGCTGCCAAAATTTAAAACAACAGACAACAAGGATAAGAAATTTGCATTAGAGAACGTCTTGCATTGTGTTCAGATATTTAAGCAGAGAAGCTTTTCAGTTTACCTTCAAATACTAATAGTAAAACTTGAGAAATGAGTTATTCCAGGGAGAAAAATAGAAAAATATCTCCATGCTTAAGCTTTCAAATCATCTGAGAAAAACACAAATGGGAATGGCTCAAGATCAACCAGAGCTGCACAGAGTTACAGAGCCTGGTATTCTGGTCGACCTATGGGTCTGCAAGCAGCCGGAGATATTCACAGTCCTGCCATCTTTAATAGGGAACCACACAACAGATTCACAGGATGACTGTAATACTTAATGAGAAATCTGGCTTCAGTGCAAAATAAACATGTCTGACAAAGCCAGTTGAAATGGCACTGGATGGCTTACTTCTGATGGGGTCTTAACCAAAAGCCTCTGAAGTGGGGCAGATCTAAGGTCTATGACAGTACTGATTGATCATTGTGCCAAGAGCAGAAATGGGTTCCCGCCATAAGGAAGCATCTGTCTGGTTCTAGGAGGTTAAATGATGCCTGTCCAGGTATGAAACCCAAAGCAAATCATGATTGAAAGGTGACAGCTGAAGAAAATTCAGCATCTTTTCCCTTTTAAGTGGCTTAAATTACTATAATTTCATGCATATACCCTCTGCTCAGATCCTAACCTTTCCAAGATCATCCAATACAGCTAAGATAATAAACCACTGGGCTTCTGGCTTTGCAGTTAAAAGGAATTAGAGCGTAATTAAATTATTTTAGGTATGCTACCTGGTTTAAATTGATTCTGCACATCATCTTGCTGTTTGCATTGATTTTTATATGAACCTGCTCTCATGAAAGAGCTTGGAACAGAAGTTTTAGGTAACTATTCCATTCACCCTCGTCTAAGGGAAAGTAGATATGGCACTGGATAAGGGATTGATGTGATAAAATGGCAAGATGATAAAAGGAGTACAGTAAATGCGGAAGTGGTAAGAAAAACTAAATTTTTCAAACCCAATTTCATTAGCTAGGTATTAATATTTGCATAGGCAGGTTTTACTGCTATTTATACCATTTTCACAATTAAAATGCTTGTTTCACGATGTTTAAGTGGTTAATGATCTCTCTCCCCAATGTTATAATTAGTATCTTCTACTGAAAACTAATAGCTGTAGTTATTTGAAATTTTGGAAAATGTCGTGTCCTTGCTGACAGCTGGCTTCAAAGAAGGCTCTGCTCTGTCATCCCATCCAAACTGTCAAATTCCTAATGTTCATGAAGAGGTCCAGTTGTCAGGACCTCATAATGCTCCTGGTTCAGAGTATTGGAAAATATGAATGATAGACTTAGCTAAGTAACTCCATGCACGGACACGAACACTTTGCTTCCTTTTTTACATGCCACCTTTTTGTTTATTTTTTAAAAGATTTTATTTATTTGAGTCCACCTTTTTAATCTACATCCAGAATTTTGATTTAACAGGTCTCATAGTTTGTATCTTTTTAAATGATATTCCTTTGAATTTTTTAATTATCTTAAGCCTTTGCTAAGTGAATACAGTAAGTTTCTCTATATGTTGTTTCTTGGCTTTTAGAATAAAAAAAATTAAATTTCATGAATGAAATATGAGAGATAGGATAGGTACATAAAAATGAAACCAAAAAAATTTCTAGTTTATGTCTCAAAAGAATGACATTCTGCTCTTCCCCTTCTTTACCTGCATATTTTCTTCAATAACATGACCATGTACTCTACTCTCCTCTTTGAGCTTATCTCCTTTTAAAACCTTTCCATTTTTCTAATTTGGTTAAGAAATGAAAAGGAGTTAAATTATTTTCACTTCTCCCAGAGTAGGTAATTCGATAATAGCTTCTTGGTGCCTCTTCTAATTTCCCAGAGTACAAATCTCCTACTGTATTCATGCAAGACAGCTTAAAAACAAAACAGTCAGTATAATTCCAAGTGAAAAATTCTTTTTTTTTTTTTTTTTAATTTTTAAGTAGACTCCACGCCCAATGCAGGGCCCAAGGTGGGGCTCGAACTCACAACCCTGAGATCAAGACCTGAGCTGAGGTCAAGAGTCAGATCCCTAAGCGACTAAGCCACCCAGGTGCTCCCTGCCCCAGAGTGAAAACTCTGAAGGAAAGCTGTTGAAAAAAAATTTGTTTTTTTTTTTTTTTTAAAGATTTTATTTATTTGACAGAGAGAGACACAGCGAGAGAGGGAACACAAGCAGGGGGAGTGGGAGAGGGAGAAGCAGGCTTCCTGCTGAGCAGGGAGCCCGATGCGGGGCTCGATCCCAGGACCCCGGGATCATGACCTGAGCCGAAGGCAGACGCTTAACGACTGACCCACCCAGGTGCCCCAAAAATTTATGTTTTAACAGGAGAAATTCCTAACATTGGCTAAATAAAACAATATGTTACAATATGACCCAAGATATCAAACGTCTTTCATTAAGCTGTCAAATCTAAATGCATGATTTATTTAAATTTACAAGTTCCAAAGTTTGATTTAAATTTTTATTTTTTAAGATTTTTTTTTTTATTTATTTGACAGAGAGATAGACAGAGCCAGAGAGCACAAGCAGAGGGAATGGCAGAAGGAGAAAGAGAGGGAGAGGGAGAAGCAGGCTCTACACTGAACAGGGAGCCTGATGTGGGGCTCGATCCCAGACCCCTGGGATCATGACCTGAGCCGAAGGCAGATGCTTAACCATCTGAGCCACCCAGGTGCTCCTGATTTAAATTTTAAAAGCTTGAAAATGTGAACAAAAGTGCCATGAATTCAAAAATAAATACATGTAACCAAACTTAAAACACACAAAGTATTATATACATTAACAGATGATCCAGTGTCTTACCTTCATCATGAATTTCTGTAGGGGCATAAGGAAAAGAGAGAAAATATTAAATATACATTATTTCAAAGATTTTAAAATAGCTCTTATTTATAAAGATTCCACTGTTCAAAATGGAGTTATGTGAACAACAGAAGCATAAAAAACCACATTCACTGTGGTGTCACAAGAAAATTTAGTATCAACTACATGCTAGAGAAAAGGTGTAGCAAGCAAAACTCTCTTTAAAAATGTCTTTACATTAGTTTTTCCTATTTCTGTGAAAACATGCTCCTCTACTTTAATGCCTGATTCAATTTACAACATAGCTAAGCAGAAAAAATAACCAAAGGTAAAATCTCAAAAATTACACTCTGAAAATGCTTTAAATTTTTTTATTTCATTTTTTGCATAAAAATGCCGTGATATAAACAGCAACCCAACAAAGTTTAGTAAAAACAGTGCATCAGAAACAGGTAACGTGAATTGTAAACTAAAATGCTGTGATAAGCTGCTCATATTTCATGCAAATTAACAGTAAGCAAGTCCTACACACTGCATATTGTGAGATGTGAATTTCAAAGAAAAATCACAAAAACTTTTCTTCTTCCCTTAAAATGACACAGCCTCTTTTCATGATTTACATATATTATAACAGCTCTTTTTTGCTTCTACAAAACATAATATGCACATGGCATTTCTTCATTTTCCTTTAGACCCATAGCGTTTGACTCCCTCTTCTTAAAAGGAGTACACAGGTGAGAAAGAGCTAAGAAGGAAAAATGATATTATATTTCCAAACTTAGGGTTAAATTTAGTTGTCACGGCATGTAAGCCCCACAGAGAAAAGATACACATATTTACATTCATTTTAGAGAAAACAGCAAGGGGAAGTTTTCTAAAATAGGTATTTGTAAATACCACAGTAATGTTCCTGAAACATACACGCACAGTAATTTATATATAACTAAATGGCAACTCTACTGTGACTGGGTTGTTTTTTTTTTTTTTAATATTATAATTTGGTTAAAGCTTTATTTAAGTAATCTCTACACCCAACCTGGGGCTCAAACTCTCAACCCCGAGATCAAGAGTTGCATGCTCTTCTGACTGAGCCAGCCAGGCGCCCCTGTACTTCTATAATTTTTAAGGAAAAAGTGTAAAGACCCATTTCATTCTTAGCTTTAAAAATATAGGCTGTTTGCTTACACTGTTGTGATATCAATGGTAAATGATATCAGAAAACTTATTTTCCATGATGAAACTGACCAGTCATCCTAAATGTGATCTCTATACTATCACTACATGAGGAATTAGGAAAAAATCATTTTTCAGCCTTAATTCAAAGAAAAACAAAAACCCAAAATTTTGCTACAGATCACGGTTTATGACAGATACCTTATTCATGAGATTTTTATTTTTTTAATTGATCTAGGTTTTGGAGACTTTTCCTTAAGAAAGTTCTCAGCCAATTTTGTCAGTTATCTAAGGTTAAACTACTTCAGGACTGTAGTAACTAGAAACAAGAACGGTCAGGGCAGTCCCAGGTCTGCTAGTCACAAGTTCTAAGTTGTGTCTCACTTCAAGAAGGGCAAGTCACAGGAGAGAATAATCTGGATATAGGGTAAAAGAGAACAAAAACTGAAAATTAGCAAAGGCCAAAATATCCATCTGTAGAATGAGAAAGAAGAGCAGATGTAATAGACTCACATTATCAAAAGATAATCAAAAACGTGATTTGTGGTGTTACTAACACTACCTATTTGTACAAATCATCTGTTGGTCCATTTGGCTTAAGTTCTAGCGATAACAAAGGGGTAGGTAAGAAATTCAAAACAGATCATTCAAGGGCAAAAAAGAAAGCAAGATACATTAAAACAAAAAGGATAAATACGTTATTTTAATCTCAATATAAACACTGTATGGGTATGATAAAAAGCAACAGAAAAAGTACCAAAAATCTTTTAAACATTGCTGGCAATGATTAAAAAAAAAAAGAAACCCAGGCATAAAGATAAATATTGAAGAGAATAGTCTTGATGTAGGTTAAGAATATCACCTTATGCTTACAAGTTTACACTTATTTATTTCCCTCATGGAAAGATAATTAGATAAAAGCTAAAATTCTATTAGATGAGATACAGAAGTGCAGGACTATAAACACAATTAACAGTCCAGGCACCAACATGGATTGACACTGCTTTCTGTCTAAGAAGAGACTGGAGGAGGATGAAACCCAAAGGGGGAGATTTTAGTTCTTCAGGGTGAAATTGCAAGCAGCTATAGCTCAGTGTCCCCGGTTCAGCGTAATTACTTCAGAACTGGCAGTCGGATGAAGCTTCGAATGTGAGCAAGAGTTGGAAGCATACCAGGCATTATGCAAAATGAACAGGAACCAGCAAGAGCAATAGTGCTTCTTACGCTTTAACTCCAACAAAGATGGCCCCAGGGATCTAACGGATGGCAAACTGAAGCAGAATAGTCTTTGGTCTAGAAAAGTATGTCATTTGATCTAGCACATCAGAAAGACCTTAGGGATTTTCTTAGCATATGCAAATGACCATGAGTAGAAAAACAAATCAGATAGCAATACTCCACTCTGAAAATTGTAATCAAACACTGGACATCAAGAGAATGCACAATTACATTCAAACTGTTGCTGGTATAAAGAAACGGTGATTCAGGTGATGTAAAAAGCTCCTCTACCATAATTAGACCTTTCAGTTCAACCTTGAGTTTTTTAAACTGTTATTTCAGTTTTGTGAAATGACAGTTGATTAAAAAAAATTAATACTTCTGTATATGGACCTGTTTCAGAAGTTTTAAAAGAACCTTTCTGAAATGCCTTTTTAAAAGTTATATAGATATAGAATTAGCACAAAATAAAAATTTGGGGGCTTGTCACTAAGGAGAGTTAGCCAATACAACAATCTAAGAGACTAAGGCAAAATTTTGACTCAGGAGTCCTTTTAAAACGAAGTTTCCATTAGGGGGACAGAATGTCCTACCCTGCACACAAGCTATCCATCGAATTTCACCTCACGGGTCACCTTTTCTCTCCATGTCTCAAAATCCTAAAATTTCTCCATAATCTTCCAACTGGTAACCTCTAATTTGTGAGTGAGGATCCATCTGATAAACTTCATTATGTCGAGAAAAAAAAAAGTTATTTCACCACCAAAGACTTGGGGTTATTGATGGATGTTTCTTTTTTACTGAAGTCTAACTGACATGCAATGTTATATTATTTTCAGGTGTACAATATATTCATCCGACAATCTATACATTACTCGATGCTCCCCACAGTAAGTATAATCACCATACGTTACTATAATATTGCTGACTATATCCCCTATGTTATGCTATTTCAGTTATTTTATAACTGAAAGTCTGTATCTCTTAATCCCTTTCACCTATTTCACCCACCACCCCACCCCCCCAACCTCCCCTCTGGCCACTAGTTTGTTCTCTGCATTTATGAGTCTATTTCTGGTTTTTGTTATTGTTGTTGTTCGTTCATCTGTTTTGTTTTTCGGATTCCACATATAAGTGAAATGATACAGTATGTATCTTTCTCTGTCTGACTTACTTCACTTATCATAATACCCTCTAGGCCCATCCATGGTGGTGGCTGTTTTAAGGTAATAATGTTCCCAACATATTTCAGGGAATGAAAGAAGTTTAAGAGTAAAAACTCCAAGTTCCAAGTGGGTGTATCAAGATAGACTACCTACTAGGATATATGGTTATACATTTGTAAAAACAAAACTCTCAACTACTTCCCTTATTATGACAACATCGTATGCAAATGCTTAACTTTCTAGGGATTCCCCACTAAAAATATCCAAGACTGAACTGATGGACAGACATGTTGACTGTAGGCCCAGAAAGCATCTAAAAGGAGCTCAGCTTCCAGCCCATGAAAGAGCAATGGTACCTGTAATTATAGGTCCCGTGGCTATGCCCTCGCATTGCTCCTATTAATGACGATCCCAGGCACCTAGTGATATGTGCGTGCTGGTATCTTTTAAAGAATTCATTATATTTTGGGGGGCAGGTCGGTAGTAATGTTGTCATTTTTAACCTATCGACAACTCTGTCTAGGCAGGGTTTAAATGGACTGCCTTTTCTTTTGAGTGTAATGGATTTGACATATATATATACATGTGTGGAATTATCTAGTTCTTCTTGAGAAGGATAAGAGAAATAATAATAAGCTGATAAGCTACTATAAATCCTCCCATTTTCTCTCTCAGACACACATTTGTAAATCACTGAGCTGCATGAACATCCAAAATATGAAGTAGAAGAACGATTTAGAGCTTTCGTCTTTGCATAGCTTGTCTTGTGAAAAAGATTTCTTAAATCAAAAACAAAAAATTCATCTCTACACAGAATATATGGGTCATAATGACCTGATTATACATAAAGCCTCACCTATACTCAGACCACCTTGTATATCAAGATAGAGAAGATTCTATTTTTTTTCCAAATCATTTCAAACATGAACAAACCTTGATAACATGAAAGCATTTCACAGACCCTCACATAATAGCACTTGCACATGAAAACACATTATTTAAAAAAAAAAAAAAAACTGTTACTGAGTTAGGAACATTTGAAAGAATTCTGTATTTTAACAATTACAACAGCATCAATGTATTCTTGAAAAGAGCAAGTAAATATATGAGACCTCATTTGGTCTATAGACAATGCTTCACATATAAAAATATCACAATCTTTTCCACCCCTTCTCCCCAAACTCCACCTGTGACCTGCAATCCCAGGCCCCATGTTAGAGACCAAAGCTATGGGTTAGGGGTGCCAGAAGGCTGGGGTGGAGTAGAGGAAAAGAAGAGGCGATCAATCACCTGTTAATCCAGGACTCACCAACGTTATTCTCCCTTGGTGCATGATGAGCAGAATTTGATAACTCAGTAGGCTCATGATCAAACGCAAAACACTCAAAGATGCTCAAAGAGACACTGGGAAACAAGTGGAGAGAGGAAGGGAGGGAGGAAGAGATTGATTAAGACTGA